AAATAAATGTTTTTCACAAAACTCTAATAGTAGCTTACACAAACTAAATTTTAATAATTCATGAATGTGCACTTAATTTTAGATAGTTTTATAGAGTTATTGCTTAAAATAGATCTAAAAATAGAAATGTAATGCAAAAGTTAAAACACCTTATCGTACCCTAATCACTTCCAGAATCATATAAATCTTCATTTAGATTCGATACAAAGTCGTCTTCCATTTCAGATTCAACTATAAGTTCATCTTCTTCTTCGACAACCTCATCATCTACCTCTATAAAAACACCATCCAAATCATTAAGTGGTCCAGGTTCATCCACATCCATCTGTCCTATATGATGGATACTTCTCTCATCTTCTTGATAGGGTGGCATCACTTGTATCTCGGCATTATTATCATCTGACAATAGAACTTCCACAAAAGCCCTTGCTTTAACATTGCACACAGCCCACCAGTCTCGTTTATCACGACCTGCACCCGGATATTCACAAAAGAACACTTGTTTTGCCTGCATCCCCAACATAAAAGGCTCATACCTATTAAAACGGCGTTTATGATTGATATCCACAAGCTTGTAGCTGTTATGAATATTCATTCCGCGAGCTGTGGGGTCAAACCATTCACATTTGAATAAAACTGTTGTGTTCGTGTGGAACCCATCATATCCAACCTCAACCACATCGACTAATCGTCCATAAAAATCATTCTCAACGCTGAAATTTGATCCTTTAATACAGACCCCACTATTCATGGTGCTTTTGGAAGACCCACAACTAAGAGTGTGAAATTTAAAACCATTGACCATGTAACCAGAATACGATTTTACTTTTCTCAATGGCCCTTTAGCAAGGTCTTGAATATATTCATTAGTTATTCCATTCGATTGATCGTGTACCTACAATTCGCATAAGGCAGCGAATTATGATCTTGCAGGTTAAGACAGGTCATATTGTATACTACATATATTAGGTATATATAAAAATAAGACTCACATATTTCTCGAACCAATCAGGAAATTCGGTTTCAAGTTTCTGATCAATTACTTCTCTGGAGATGTTTCTTCTTTGTCTCCTCAGTAAATCAACAAATATACTTCACATGTGCAAAATTTAAGAGGGGATTTTGCTATATGAAGTTCATAATGTGTTTAATAATACTAACTAAATGAAAAGACTATAGAGGAATGGTTACAAACCTAATATATGGTTCAATTTCGACGCAATTGAGTAAGATGTAACTACGGGCAGCATTGTATTCATCTTCTATCAAGTATCTTGCTTTTGCCCTTCCGAGAAATCGCCCTTGACACTTGAATATTGAAAGACTTCCTTCGAGTTCATTCTTCTGAGAACAACCGGCATCATTACGTGGCGGTTTCCTATGCCGTGTGCTCACGTGTTCTTCAAAATAATACTCACAAAACGACGATGCCTCATCAACTAAATATGCATTGCATATCGATCCTTCAACTCGGGCTTTATTAGTCACATTCCCTTTCAACTTCCGAAGGTATCTACATTAAAATTAAATTTTTAGAAGGAGATCTTTCAACTATAAAAACTTATTAATTCAGAAACATGAATATAAATCACCTCTCAAATGGATACATCCAACGGTACTGGACAGGACCAACAATGATTGCTTCATAAGCCAAATGCACAGGAAGATGCTCCATTGAGTCAAAGAAGCTCGGTGGGAATATCTTTTCCAGTTTGCATAATATAATAGGAATTTCAGTATGCAACCGCTCCATATCTTCCTTACGTATAACAGTGGAAGTGAGTTCTCTAAAGAAAAGGCTCAACTCAGTAAGTGCTTTCCACACATTCAAAGGAAGTAATTCTTTAAACGCAATAGGTATCAGTCGTTGCATAAACACATGGCAATCATGGCTCTTCATACCAAAAAATCTGTGTTTCTTCATGTCTACACATCTAGACAGGTTAGAGGCATATCCATCAGGAAACTTAACCTCTTTCGCCCATTTGCACAATTCTTCTTTGCCCTTCACATCCAACGTGTAGCATGCTTTAGGATATTTACGTGTTTCCTCGTTTCTCGCCAACTCAGGACGTCGACAATAGTCATTCAACTCTTCGCGAGATTTCAGTGTATCTTTTGTCTTGCCTTGTACATCCATAATTGTATTAAAGATGTTATCAAACACATTTTTCTCAATGTGCATTACATCTAAATTATGTCGAATAAGATTTGTACTCCAATAAGGCAAGTCCCAAAAGATACTTTTTTTCCTCCAACCGCAATTTTTGCATTTTGCTCTATTGTTCTCATCAGAGCCAATATCCGTGACTTTCATTAAGCCTCGATCTTGTAACTCTTTCAATATTTGTTCTCCCGTTCAAACATGAGGTGCATCTTTTGTAACCACTTTGTTTTTTAGGAATGAAGTTTTGTTCCTTCGGTAAGAGTGGTCTAAAGGTAAGAACTTGCGATGGTTGTCAAACCAAGATTGATTACCACTTTTGGAAAGAGTGAATGCATCGGAGTCCTCCATGCAATATGGACAAGCTAAGCGTCCAGCAGTACTCCATCCAGACAACATCGAATATGCTGGAAAATCACTAATTGTCCACATTAAAGCAGCTCTCATCTGAAAGTTTTGCTTCTTCGAGATATCATAAGTTTGAACTCCTACATCCCATAGTTGATTCAACTCTTTGATGAGGGGCTGTAAGTAGACGTCCAACTTATCTTTTGGGTTTTTTGGCCCCGGAACTAACACAGTTAAAAACATGTGTTGGTCTTTCATGCACAACCATGGTGGCAAGTTCAAAGGCGTGACTATCACTGGCCAACAAGAATATTGTGCTCCATATTGTGCAAACGGTTGGAAACCATATGTGCTAAGACTTAACCTCACATTACGAATCTCTTTCGCAAATTCTGTATGCGTGTTGTTGAAATACTTCCAAGCTAAAGAGTCAGAGCAATGTGTCATAACACCATCTTCAACTGTATGTTCTGCATGCCACCTCATTTCTTTGGCCGTAGCATTGGAGGCATACAACCTTTTTAGTCTGTCTGCTAGCGGGAAATAATACATCTTTCTGTATGCCACGTTTTTCCCTCCACCCGACCTCTTGAATCGACCGTGACCACAAAATTTACAGCTCGTAGCATCCGCATCATCCTCCCAATACAACATACAACCATTATTGCAACAATCAATTTTTTTCAACCGGTAAACCCATTCCCCGCAACAACTTCTTGGTTTTGTAGAAATTCTCGGGTACTGTAATATCATAA